CTAGGATCACGAATACCGAGACGTTTTTGAAGGGACCTGGTTATCCACAACCCTGTCGGCCACTTTCCGGTGTACAGGCCCAGTGCTGAACGAGTGGCTCAAATTGAGAAAGAACATGCAGAGGAGAACAACCCGCTCGGTGCTCACTACGATGCATCCGGCGAAAATCGTGCCAAAGGCGCTGGTTTCTACCAGTTTTCCAAGGACGAAGAGACTCGCAAGGCTCAGATGGACGAGCTCAAGGCGTCGAGGGAAGAGACTCTGAACACAAGGAAAGAGACCGGAGCGATCGACGTCCTACCAGGCGATATAGAAGGCATGCGAGAAGGCCCTCCATCTGGACAAAGTCGCGCCATGGAAAAGAGGAAACGAGACCTGGAAGAACGGCGAAAGCTGCTCGATGCCAAGCGCCGGAAGCTAACAGCGACCTCCACTCCAAGTCAGACAACGAAACCAACGTCAGTCGAGGCAGTCACCCCGCCTGTCGATCCGTTTGCTGCGCTGGAACAGTCTGCTCAGTCGTCAGGCAAGAGTGCTGCCGATCAATTCCTAGCTGAACTGGAACAAGACTTCATGAAGCAACAGCGTAGATAACACATCATCATCGGTAGGCAACTCCGCTATCCCGGGCCTCCAATACTAACCGTTCCGGACAGAGCAACGCAAACCGACCCTCTCCCTGCTCATATCGAACGTTCTCCTCTCCTCTCCGGCGCATCCGATCCTTCACTTGCTCCCGGCCTGCTATCACGTCCTCTATGAACGTTCTCGCAGCGATCAAGACGTCCATGGCTGGCCGACTGTATGTGCGATGACCAGCATTGAGCTGGACTGGCGTCTGACCGCTCTGCTCTCGGACGAACGCGATCAAATACTGCATCGAGTCCATCCACTGCACAATCGAGCCCTCGGAAGGGAATATGATCGTCTCTACTTCGTACACGGTGTCCCCGACATAGAGCATCCTTTCCGAGTAATCGTAGAGTGCGACCTCGTCTGGAGTGTGCCCTGGAGTATGCAAGACTTGAACGTTGAGCGGAACGTCCTCCACGGAACGAATCTGATACGCGTGCGAAACGAGAGTGGCCTTGAACTGCGGAGTTTTCAGGCCCAGGGTTTGACACAGACTGTGTGCAGGCAAATTCTTCGGTGATATGAAAGACGCGTCGTGACCAGATACCAAGATGGGAGAGTCTGTGAATTGTTCTATCCCCACTATCTCATCTCAATATCTGTCTGTCCGCGGATCGGTATCGAACACTCACGAATGTGATCATAGTGACAATGAGTGGCAACCACGACGTAGTCCATCCTACCTCCCTCATTGAGCGCAACTCCTCCATTACAGTCTAGTTTTGCCTTTTCAATGAAGGTTCGCAAGGAGGTTGTCTTCGCAGGTCGTGCGCTCTTCCCTCCACAGCCAGAGTCGATGATTAGTACAGTGTTTGCGGAAGAGACCACTTTGACGAAGATTTGGGGATGCTCGTCGAAAATGTCGTCGTACTCGCTGTCCGAGGTCAGCCGGGAAGCGCCAAGTGAGATGGAACTCATACGTGAGCATGAAGGTTGTAGGGGTCAATCGGATCGCAGTAAATGCATAGCTAGGTTGGCCGTATGAACTTGTCCTCCGACAGCGTCGATACAGAGGGATGGACAGCAGGAGAAGGAATGTGAGAGATAGTAGCCACGCGTTTTCAGCCGCCAGACACGGGACATATAACGGCGACCTCTTCTCCTCCACGCAGAATGCAGCTCTCGGGCTCATCGACCATCTCCGCATCCACGCTCCATTTGCTTCCATCCAAGATCTCACGGAGCGCCGGACTTTGCGGATGTCTTGCGACAAGCAGATCACTCAAGTAGCTGAGCGGGAATTGGGTCTGAGGCAGCTGAATCTTTTCGAATGTGAGGCCAGTGGCAGTAGATGCGGCAGCGAAATAGAGAACCAAGATCTCAGTGGGAGCCGACATGCAAGTTGAGAACAGGAAGCAATCCGATTGATGATCTCTTGCCTCTGTGTATATCAGTATCTAATCGATAAGCGTATTCTAAGTCTGTTCTGTCTACTCTACAGTGACCGCAGCTCTGCTGTCCACCAGATTGGCTTTGAGGTCTCTATATAGATATCATTCTCATCTGCAACGAACTGATTGGAGGTTGAGACTAAGCCGTCGAAGGATGACGTGTGATTCGCTGTGTGAGCTTAGGCTAGTAATTATGGCGTGAAGAATGGGACAAACTGAGATTCCATCGCAGCCCCTTCGTCGTAAGAATAGTCGAATCAATTCCTACGGGTAATAATCCGCATGTTGGGCCCAGCACCGTTTGGTCAACCGTGATCGTGTGCTGGCCCTGGGATTATGAGCTTCGCCAGACCGCGCAGAAACACGAACGAACAGCGTCCAACACCCATCCAACATTGTCATCGGTCACAGCGAACACACGCCTTCTTGTTCTGCGGAGTTTGTGCAGATAACTCAGCGTGTGAATTGTTTGGTCTAATCTCCCAGATAACCCCCCAAGCAAAACGATAGTGTGCTGCTGTGAAACCAATCTGCTTTCGGGCTAATGCGGTGTCCTGCGGTTGACTGACCTTTGTCGTGTCCTTATCCTCGAGCTCTTGCAGCGCGTCAACACATTTCATGAGATCCGTGGAGTCTTGATCGAAATCTTGCACCACAGGAACTCCCTGAGGGATTGTGAGAACATCACAGAGTAGACGGAGACTGGAGGCCGCACATGGGAAGCATAAAACCCACGGACATCCTCGCGGATAGAGTCCAGATCCCCTTTGATCAGGTCCGGGAGATATCTTGGGTGGAGAAGCCTTCCGATGCCGGCAGAGGGCTTCAGTTCGAGCAGACTCACTGCAAGCTCCGCGTGGGTCCCAGCGTGTCATAAAGCCGGTTCGCGCCGCCGTCTGCGCAGCAATGCCATTGCGTCGAGGCCCATAGCCGGAAGAAAAGCGTGTCCGAGAACGGTTGGTTCAGGATGATCAGAGCACGGTCCGTAGTGGCAGCGTGCGAACTGGGCTGCAGAAAATCCGTGTCCCAGTGATTCATGGCCGTCTCAGAGATTCAGATTTTCTTCACAGGAGCCGAACACAGCGAAGGGCGAAAACAAGATGAATACAGATCATCCATGTTAGTAAACGATATGACGTGACAGATCTATCTATGCCCATCACGTAGTACATACTACTCACGAGCCCTGGTTCCTCCTTGACCACGACGAAAAGCTAAGCGCGCCGATGACACCAACCAAGAGCAGCGCTGTTCCGGTTCCAACTAATCCTGGTACGTACAAGTACCAAGTATTGTCCAAGTCTGGTAATCTGTGACCCCGATCATCGAAAATCGTCGTTGAGCCTTCGTCCTTCAGTTTCCTGCGCCTCCTCGCAACTTCTGGAGGACTGAACCCAGACAGGTCGATTGACGGCATTTCGAGCTGTTCCGAAGGATTCCGCGAAAGACTTGGGCCCAATGGAGGCAGAACAGGGATGTCCAAGCCAGGCTGGAGGGATCGAGCTCGTTCGAAATATCTGCTGGCTGCGTCTCTGTCGTTCCGCCATGCTTCGGTCGCTCCATCGCCGGAATGAAGAGGATACTGAGATACCCGGAGAGACGACAGGCTTGCTGCCGAAGAAACCAGAAGAGCTGACGCGGCACCTTCGAGATGTAGCATCCCAGCTTCTAGATACAGCTGTGCCAGTCCATCTTCCCCGCCGATGCACTGTGCATAGTAGGACACCGTTCCCGGCCGGGCAGTTTTGCTTTCGACGAGATCAGCAGTCTTATGAAGTGGAAGGTAGTGCGAAACCAATCTCATGGTGGACGCGGGTAGATGAGCCTGATGCCACGCTCGACTGTGGAATGTGATCCTGAGCTAGCCGAAAGACAGGCGCGCAAGGAAAGAGCTCACAGGAAATACTCGAATGATGCCTCCCTGTCTTGCCTGATATCGAACAACTCGAGTGCTGTGAGTATGAGACTGGTCGGATCCATATTGTATTGATGCTCGAGCTGTTCACTAGCTTTGAAAACAACCGAGTTTGCAACAGGGGGTGAGAGTGTGTCCGCGCAAGGGCCCACGATGAGGGACGGCCAGATGATGGACTGCTTCTTCTCAAGGTGTAAGGTCAATAAGCGCCCAGGCCGGTGGACGTGCAGAGACTCCAAAGAAGAAAGCGAGGACGTAGGATTGGGAAATAAACGTCCTGGCGATACGGAGCGAGATACAGGATGCGAACGGGGGCTGACGGGTGATGAGTACCCCGTCACATCCTCCGAGTCCGAAGCAGGCCCGCTCTCTAGAGACGCCGCAAAACTGCTCGATATCTCCGGGTCGGATATAAATGCGTAGGATGAATGCGTGGAAGCTGTTGAGGTCGTGGAGTTGGTGCGTTCGCGGGCCGAGAGCCGAGACCTTAAGCGCAGTGGCTCGAGCTGCCACATGCTCCCTGTACTGTCGACCCGAGCATAGAAGCGACCCTAACAAGATGCTCGGTTTCTGGCTTGAAATTCAAGAACAACGCACCTTGATGGTCGGCGGCTGTCCACGTACACCAGCGACGATATAGTTCCCCGTGGGTTCAATTTCTACATGAATCTGCGTTGATTTAGGGTCAGCACGACCATGAATAGCAGGAAATGAGACGGATACGGACATCTGCCTCTGTGGTTCCGAAAGGAACATGGAAAAGTACAGTAGCCTCGAAATTCCGAAGCGTCAGAACACGTTGAACACCATGAGGCGTCCAGTACCTGATCGTGCGACTTGCGGACATCGGGAGTGAGCGATGAGCTCGATGCCATGCAGATAGAGGTGCTCACCTGGTGCCAGGAATATGAGGAGGAGGAGTTTTGCGAATCGTTAAAGGTCATGATCGTGTGAGTTGGTAAGTAGTACAAGAGGTTAGGTTAGACCATTGGGGAAGCGCGTTTGATTGACAACCACAGCCACGATGGCGTGACTCAACACCTGTAGTCCGGATCGGGAAACGACTGATGCGCCTCGGGGCGGACCAGAGCGAGCTTCCAATGTGTTCGATAACAGCACGTTTCTTGCAAACACCCCCAATTTTTTCATTCGCGTTATCGACACAGCCGATATCCTACTAATAGCCTAGGTCATACAGTGCAGGTGGTGGGAACTATTTCTCATCAATCTCCGTGGCATTACTCATTTACGCAGGGGTGAAGGGGATGTTGTCGAGGATGGAGACGAAGGCGGCAGCAGCCTGGATCTTCGGGTCCTGGAGGTTTCCGTTCACAGCGCCGGCAGCACATTCATTGAGACCAAGGGCCTTGGCGACGTTGCCTGGATGTGGATCAGAGGGAGCGGAAATGACACGACGCAAACACTAACAGTTCGGGGCGGGGCTGGAGTGACCACAGCCTCCGTCACGGGTCTGGGCAATCGCGGGACCAGCGCACTTTCCGGTGTTGAATGCACAGCAGCCCTGTTGGCACTGAAACGACATCAGCTTCCGACTCAGAGACCTGGCTACTCGAAGCTCACGTCAGAGTCAGTGGCGCAAGTCGAGGTGACGAATCCGAGAGGAGACTGGGAAGCAGCAAGAGCCGAGACCGACTTGGTTCCGCCGGCAGCGTTGTTCGAAGCCGGGGGTGCAGCAGCAGCAGGTGGTGGCGCGGCAGCGGCAGAGCCAGCGCTCGGGGTGAACGGAATATTGTCGAGAATCGAGACAAAGGCGGCGGCAGCCTGGATCTTCGGGTCCTGGAGGTTGCCGTTCACAGCACCAGCGGCACACTCATTGAGACCGAGAGCCTTCGCGACGTTGCCTGCGGATCTTGTTAGACTCGTGGCACTGGTAAAAGTGCGATCAACTCACAGTTAGGAGCCGGGCTGGAATGACCGCAGCCTCCGTCCCGGGTCTGGGCAATGGCCGGGCCGGCACACTTTCCAGTGTTGAAGGCACAGCATCCCTGCTGGCACTGAAAGTACGGGGGTTAGTTAAATAGTCTGATCGCGCGGGTTTTCTATTCAACGCACATCAGAGTCGGTGGCACAAGTCGAGGTGACGAATCCGAGTGCAGATTGACCAGCAGCGAGAGCAGCCACCGTGGGCGTTCCTCCCCCGCCAGCGTTGTTGCTCGCGGGCGGGGCGGGAGGGGCGGCCGCAGGTGCAGTCGGGGTGAAGGGGATGTTGTCCAGCTTAGCCACGAACGCAGCAGCGGACTGGATGGCAGGGCTGGACAGATCGCCATTCACTGCACCGGGCGCGCAGTCGGAGAGCTTCAAGGCGGCTGCGACATTGCAGTTAGGAGCCGGGCTTCCGTGACCGCATCCTCCATCCCGAGTCTGAGCGACAGCTGGGCCAGCACACTTTCCAGTGTTAAAGGCACAGCACCCTTGCTGACACTATACGCGCGGTATAAGAAGAAGGTCGATCAGGCACAGAATCCAACCCACATCAGAATCTTGCTGGCATGGACCAGTCACGAATTGATTGCCACGGCGCTGGCCAGCGTAACGCGAGGGGAGCTCGTGAGCGCTGACAGAAACTGAGAGATGGTTGAGTGCGCGATCGAAACCTCGAGAGGAATGCTCTCACCGACGTAAAGAGCGGCGGTAATGAATGCGGCGGAGAACTTCATGATGTGTAAAGAAGTGAAAAGAAATAGAAAGGCGAATGAAAAGATCTGAAAAGGGCGAGCTAGTCGGGGCGAAATGCAAAAGAAGAAGAGCGAGAAGAAAGAAACCAGTTCTGGGGAAATGCAGTCTGCCCCTGCTGCCCTTTATACGAGAACTTGTCGTCGATCGGCGTCATGATGGCCGCAGGTCTGAAGTTTGATTGATTGTAAGTGTAGCGGTACTTATCACTCGATATCATCGCATCGACTCGCTTGCCCACTGTCGCATGGATTCTCCAAGTGAGTCGAAAGATCCCGAAGCCAAACCACCGCTAGTACTTCGCTGGTACTCCAGTCCTCCTGAGGAATTTTCTGCGCCGTCAGACACGATTTGTGCAATTCTTCAGGAGGACCCAACTCCGACTCTAGAGATCGACGACCATGTTGCATGCAGCACTGGTTTCCTCTGAGATCTCACATGTTGGCCACCCGACTACCCGATTCCCCGAGATGTGATGGACCTGAAACGATCTCAGCCCGCTCCGACACGCAAGGAAAGAGATCTGTCATCCAGTAACATCTAGCCCTACTAAGATGAGCCGGCCATGGGGCGGAGAGAGATTGCCACATCAACACGGAATAGATCACTTCCGCTCGAAACTTGTTGAAACTCCAGATCATCGATAGATGAATGTCAGGGTGAATGATATTCGATTTAGACGCACTGTTGTAGAGGCGAACAGAGGCCTGATTTTCACGCGCGAATCTTCTGTTCTACTCCCGAACGAGAGCGCCGATTTCCCATATCACGCATCTCTGTTCAGGCCTTTGACCTTGCGTTGACTACCGTCGTCCATTAGGGTCAAGGTCTATCTTGATGCCAGGATCTGACTAAGTGCTGGGGGTCCTGGCACTCCGTGACCATATGCCTCATATCTGCTTAGTAAGGTGATATCGGGTGATATTTCGGTATAGTAAGTGTTGTCGTCGTCGTTGATGGCGATAGCGGCTTCTAGTGCTTTCAGACTGCAGAGCCAGTTTTTTCCTGTTGTAAGGCGATTATTGGAGTGCAACGTATGAAGCACGTGAAATTTGCATGCGAACAAGGGACACAAACCCTAATGGTCGAGTCAACTATCATTTCAGGTAGGGCTAAGCACAGCCTTGTTGGCACGTGCAATGATCTCCGGTAGTCTCCGGTTCATTTGCGCTATGTATTGGCTGGGATCCGGATTGTACTTAGCTTGGATCATTGACCAGACTCTCCGCATCAGGATTGACAACAGATATCTCTGCCCCACGCTGTGTGGCCTTCCTACGAACAGCCGCCTGCTGTTTCAAGCGATCCAAATCAATCCGCGGAGGTACATTTTGGAATTCCGATCGCCGAACAAGTGACACACCGTGGGGAAAATGAGTTTTGTGGTCGCGTTCATTTGGGCGTTTCCTTCCTATAAAAAACTACAAAAATGTACAAAAATTTATTTTCATCAAATCACTATTAAAGAGAGGTGCCTTTGCGCACTGTACATGCAAAGAACCCACGGAGTGCACCGGTCCAAGCGCGACGCGAGAGATAACGACGAGATGAAGAGATGGCGAGGGCGATGAGCAACGCCGAATGACACATCAGGGAGGGGTCACGGTGTGACTGGAGATCACTGGTTGGACCCCAACATCGAATCATGATCACACTTTCCTAAAACAGACCTTGACCCTAATGGACGACGGTAGTTGACCCGTTCATTACTGCTTGGCATTAGTCATTTCCCGCTGCTCTGGGTGGTGTCAAAACGTGAATCAGGTATATCTTTGCGTTACAGAGCTACGGCAACGACGCGGAGTTTCGGTCTCTATGGGGATCGAGCAGAGCGGCGTAGTCGCTGCGTAGTTATATGTAATGTACTCAAAGCTGTGTCACCTAGTAGCTGTGCCTTGTAAGTACGTAATGTGACGATCTTATCTGCATCTAATCGTAGACAATCAGATGTCAACATGGAGGCTGCACCCGCGGCACCCACTCATCTCGTCCGCGCGCACTCGGCGGACGTGACAGCCCTTTTCTTCTCCGGCGACAATGAACGCCTGTACTCGGGCGACGCGTCGGGCTGGGTCGTCGTAACGTCCACGCGGTCGCTGCGTTCCATCACATCCTGGGCAGCGCACACCGACAGCGTCCTCGGCGTCGAGGAGTGGGGCAATCGTATCGTAACGTCCGTCTGGGTGTATTCATTTGCCCTGGCTCGTGCGCTTACTGCCACTCCACCAGGCATTCTCGGGACCATAAACTGCATGTGTGGAACCTTGTAGTAGACTTGACCCCGTCGGCACGCGTGGGTGGTGCCCCCGGAGCCAGCGCCCCGGACGATGTCCCCAAACCGTCGTTATGTTACTCGATGGATGTCAACGCGCTCAACTACTGTCGATTCTCATTGTTGTCGGTGTCTGACGAGGACGCCCTCATCGCGCTCCCGAACCTCGTCGAATCCTCAGAGGTGAAATCTAGAACCGTTTATGGGTGACCTGCAGTTGAACAAGGCACAGGCAGACGTGTGGCGCCTCCCGGCGCGAGAGCGCCTGCATGCCTCGGTTGGCACGCAGCGCAAAGAGCACATATTCTCGACGACGGGGCGTGAGGGGATGCGCAGTGGGCTCATCATGTCCATGCATCTGTATCGGGACGAAACGCGGAAGCTCTGCTTCGTCTGTGCATATGAAGATGGGAGCGTCGTTTTGCGTCGGTTTGTCGGCACTGAGCCCTCGATCGAGGGACGGGGATGGGACGTCGTTTGGCACCAAAAACTGCATGCAGAAGCCAGTCCGTGCTTTCTTATGTCCCATCCTGCTGTTTACTGAAGTCCGTGCAGTCATGGCCATGCGAGTGTCTCGTGACAACCGAATCGCGTTGACCGTCTCTGCAGACCACCTGGTCGGTCGCTTTGAATTATCTCGAGATGCGATCAGTCCGGGCGTGATACATCGCACAAAGCATGCAGGGAATGCTTGCCTCGCCATCCGCGATGATGGCCGGGTTTGTGCTGTGGGGGGCTGGGACGGAAGGTGCTTCGCTCTGACCATGTGCACCCGTTCGCTTGTTGATCTGAGCAAACAGAGTTCGATTATATGCGACGAAGAATCTCAAAGCATTGGGCACATTGAAATACCACAAATCAGGCTGCCAGGCGGTTGAGTTTGCTCGGTCGGGGGTTTCTGAAGAGCCTGGAGAGGAAGACCCTGAAGAAGAAGAAATGAATGGAGATGAGCGACAAGCCAGGGAACGCTGGCTTGCGGTTGGAGCTAAAGACCATCGGCTATCCTTATGGCTGCTGGCGAGCTTTGAAAAAAGACCCTGAGTTGTCGTTTTCCCCTCCAGTGTGATTAAGATGCAGAAGTCATGACAGAAATATGATGTTCGTAAATGTATTTACAGTTTCGCTTTGGTAGCTCCTCCGTCGTTTCCAAAGTTGGCGACCATCTGGGACCATTGAGAATCCATGTGGGGTAGCCAGAAAGAAAGCAGCTCACCTGCTCCAGGGCTTCTGCAGTCGTCGACGGGTGTGTTGCCCGACCATCGTCTAGAATGGATCGCAATCAGAGACAGCAATAGCGGCAAAAACCAAACGCAGACGAACCAAACGCGGTGATTTGACCCCATTTAGACACAACGTCTTCAGGAGTGAATGGCACCTTGACGGGGAAGCTGTGACCGCCCGATCGTTGCCAGCGAGTTTGGGCCATCCAGCCACCCAAGATTTCAAACAAGGAGCTGGTGGTCTCGGTGTTGTCTGTTCGAGTGTTCAGTAATCACCGGGGGTACGATCAGATCAGCACCAACCGGCACTGGTCAAGTATCCGACCAAGGGGGCGATGAAGTCGGGCTAACAACATCTTCAGCGACGAACTTGACCAACCATTAATTTGTCAGCCCACCTTGAAGGACTCCACCATCTCCGGTGTCCATATTGTTGCTGTCATCGCTGTGCCGGCGGACGGCGCGATGACGTTGGCCAAGATGTTGTATTTCTTGCCCTCGATGCCCAGAGTACGCGTCAAACCAATGATGCCAGCCTTGGCCGTCGAGTACTATCACGACGAATGAGATGTTGTTGGATGCAGAAAGACTTCACCGACGTTTGCCTGGCCAAAGTTGCCATCTGAATCAAGGTCAGTGGGCATAACATAGAATGACAGCATCATAACTCACAAATGCCCACTTGCGAAGCCGTCGTGACGATACGACCATACTTTTGCTGCTGGAAGATCGGCCAAACGGCTTTAGCGCACTAGAGCACGGTCAGCGACAGTCTGAGAGGGGACGATGACTACACGCCTTGTATGTGGAACGCAAGTGGACGGCCAAAACAATGTCCCACTCTTGGGGCGTCATGGCCAGGAACGATTTGTCGCGCAGGATGCCAGCGTTGGCGATGAGCACGTGAACGCCGCCGAACTTTTCTAGTGCCACCTTGACGATAGCCTCACCCTCCTCGGCAGAGCAGACAGCCGCCGCCGCCTTTCCGCCGGCCTTCACGATCTCATCCACGACAGAGTTGGCGCCCTTCTCGTTGACATCGTTCACGACAACGTTGGCCCCCAACTGGGCATACATGAGAGCATACGTCCGTCCGAGACCGGCTCCGGCTCCGGTGATGATCACTGTCTTTCCGTCAAAGCGCACTGCAGGTGAAGATTGTGGGTTCGTTGACATTGATGAGGCCTTCTTCAAGATGCCGTCATAATCAACATCAGTGACCTTGGTGGGACTACATTGATAAAGAGTTCATAATGAGACAGAATACCGACAGAAATAAGCACTCACTAGACAGGCTTGCTAAAGTCGGTGACCTCGGCCCACTTAGCCTTCACAGCTGACGGTGTGAAAGAGGCGTCCGTCTTGAAGATGGACCCCGTGCTGCGCTCCCATCGAATTTCGGCTACGAAGCCAGCACCGACCTCAAACACTTTCCCGGAAGCATCAGGTCCATCTGGGTGGCAGACGGCCAAAACGAAGGGCGCAACAAGTGTTGGCTGACGAACGCGTGAGATGAGAGTGACGTCACAAGGTATCAGCGCGCACCTGCAAGTTGGCCAGCATTTCAGGAGGCATGATGGTCTCGGTCATCGGAGAGGCAGCAATCTAAACATCCAAGCATGAGATGAGATACACAACGGTTCTATTTCACGCACAGGAGCAATGGTGACAGCCTTGATCCCGTACTTGGCACCCTCGAAAGCCAATGTCTTCGACAGTGCGACCAAACCCATCTTTCCGGCACTGTAGTTGGCCTGACCGAAGTTGCCTGCGTTCGCATTCCGTCAGATATGTGTCGACAAGTCGCGGCTCGGATAACGCACCATACAGTCCAGCGGCACTGGCTGTGTTGACCACCCGCCCGAACTTTTGTTTACGGAAGTACGGCCAAGCCGCCTTCGAACACGCAAAGGCGCCCTTGAGATGCACCTCCATGATCTGGTCCCACTCCTTATCCGACATGTTCTTGAATCTGACTGGATGTGAGGTCCTGCACTGAGGAACGACGTGGAGCCTTACCCCTTGTCGCGCAGAATGCCAGCATTGTTGATGAGGATGGTGACCGTGCCAAAGGCATCGACAGCAGTCTTAATCACGGCCTCGCCATCCGTCGCTGACGACGCGTTCACGACGGCCTTCCCACCGGCTACACCGGCTCAGTCGGGACCGTTCGCGGTGAGACGAAATGCGCTCACCCTTGACGATCTCGTCGACGACCTTCTGCGCCGCATCCTTGTTGAAGTCGTTGACGACGACATTCGCGCCACGGGCGGCAAATGCGAGAGAGTAGCTGCAAGAGGTGTGGGTAACGATAGATCCGGAACGACCCTACGTGGACGTTGTGGCCTTACCTTTTACCAAGACCGCCCCCAGCGCCTGTGATAACGACAGTTTGTCCTTTGAAAGAGAGCGACATGGCGGTAGAGTTCAAGTTCGGCGAGTGTATGTGGTGGCCGACACAGAACCCGTATTATATCAGACGCGTTCACAGCCAGTGATGGAAGCATGTGAATTCCGGCTCGGCTTGAGGTCCTTCGAATTGGTTCGATTGTCCGCTCGATGCGGCGGTGACACATGACATGCTTCTTGAGGAATGTGCAACCCCGAATTTGATCGTCCGAGCGACGAATCACATGCCTTCGCGGCCCTCACTGGCAGCGCATCCGATTTCATACAAGAGTCCGACACATCCACTCTGTTGCTCATGTCTGAAGAACAGGATTCCCCTCTCGTTATCGAGGCTAAGAAAGCCCCAACCGAGCCCGGCGAGTACAGCTACTCCGAGGTACGCTGCTCAGCGCTCCGTGCGCTCTCTCTCTCAATCCCCGTCTGCAGCGCGACGTTATACTCTACAACCTCGGCATCGGCGCGACAGAGCAAGAGCTGCAATGGACATTCGAAGGCGATGACGAATTCTCGGCGCTCCCCACCTTCGGTGTCGTCCCGCAATTCCTGACTAGCAGCACCCTGCCTCTGGATTGGCTGCCCGACTTCAATCCCGTGCGCAACCTTCGCCGTCGCTGATCCTTCCACTTGCTTAACCCCGCACAGGCCAAACTTCTGCACGGGGAGCAGTTTCTCAGCATCAAAGCGCCTATCCCCACGAGCGGCGAACTTGTCAATCATGCCAGGTGTGCACCAATCACCACGTTCACTGCTTGATGGCCCGTCTCACCCTCGGCCAGACTGCTCGAGGTTCTCGACAAGGGCAAAGCCGCAGCAGTTACCATCGTCGTCGAGACGCGCGACAAAAAGTCCGGTCAGGTCATCTTCGAAAACCAGTCCACGGTCTTCATCCGTGGATCCGGTGGTTTCGGTGGACGGCGCAGCGGTTCTGGTCAGTCAATTCGGGCTCCTCCCCGACAGTGTCCTGATTCGGGTTTCAAGATCGTGGACCAGCCACCGCCGCTAACGCGCCACCCAAGCGCGCTCCTGACGCAGAGATCGAAGAGAAGACCACCGCCACACAAGCCGCTTTGTACCGGTTCGTCCCATCGACTCTCCGCCCTCGATTCTTTCTGACACCGAGCACAGACTGAGCGGAGATCTGAATCCTCTACACGTTTGTCCATGCTTCTCGAACGTGGACCCGTCAAGATCTCACACTCTTTCTTAGATACTGCCCGAATTCGCGGCGGTAGGGGGGTTCGATAGACCGATTCTCCACGGTCTCTGCTCGATGGGAATCTCTGGCAAACACGTCTATAAGCAATACGGCGCTTATCAAGACATCAAAGTCCGTTTTGCGGGTGTGGTGTACCCGGGGGAGACGTTGATCACTCAGATGTGGAAGGAGGGCAATAAGGTCATCTTTGGTGAGCCTTGATATTCTTTAATCTCCAATTCCGCTGACTGTGCATGTCCAGTCACCAAGGTTAAGGAACGAGGGACGGTTGTCCTGGCCTCCGCGGGTGTGACATTAGTCGCGAAAGCGGCGGCCAAACTCTAGCTGTTCGACCGATCCCCGAGTATATATCAAGCCACGAACAGGGTATATATATATTTGACCACAAGAAAACATTAGACCTATTTGCACTGAGGAAGGATGCTTGCAAATTCCGTGGATGAACCAGGGTAAAAATAGAAGGTCGTGGCAAGGATGACATAAAGGCCTTTCAAACGTGGTCAGGATGTGAGCGAGTGAGGACCCTGTCTGACACTCACACATTAAGATCATGCCCTCGAGCCAATTTGATTTTCCGTCCTGAACACAGTAGTTGACTGTGATAACAGTCAAGAATAACGCGACCGACTCGAACGGGTCGAAGAGCATGGTCAGCGGCTTGCCGAGGATCCAGCCGAGGACCACGATGAAGCTGTGGGAGATTAGCAAGAAACAAATCACCGGCACGAAGTCACATACGGAATGACAAAGAGCGCGATTTGCTGAAAAGAATGAGTCAAGCATTGAGACGATAAGAGTACGACACACAATGCTGGAGCCAACCGCCACACCCAGACTCAACGTCAGCTTATCCTGTGAGGGTTTTTGAGCATGTGTGCAACACGCTTTCGCCAGTCTGCTTACCTTGACGGAGACGGAGACAGCAGTGACATGCTCTGGTGTCAAGTCAACGAGCTGTTCGCGCAAGCGATGTTTGAGACTTGCCTGCAGCATTTCCGACAATCGGAAGAAGGATAACGCCAACAAATTCCTTGCTGATTGCTCCAGTTTCTGTCAGTCCGTTCACAGAGTCCACGAGCCATTCGGCAGTAACAGCGACGATCTGAATCGTCAGCGGCTGCAATTATGAACCTAGACGAAGGGCATACCACGGTCACAACGGCTAGCAACGCGATTGTCATGATGAGGCTGAGCTGGGGAACTTCCTCTTCCTCTTGTACTTGTTCCTCTTCGGCAGCCGTCCCATTCTCGGCGTCTGCTCCGGTCGGGTGGCGCGGTGCGTATTTCGTCGATTTGATGATGTCATCGCTCTGGTCTTCGTACAGTTTCGCGTGTGAGTAAAGCTGGAAGACCAGGTACGAGCCATAGACTAAGCGCCCAAAGTCAATTCAATCGTTCTGATGGCACCCATCGGCGTCCACACGTACTGAACAGCAGGATGATGGCAACCTAAATCCGACGTTAGCTCCGCACAGCGGCTACAGCAATGTCCAGACGCACACCGTGGCTGAACCTCAGAATATCCAGACCCGGATCCGGATCAGAAGTCGCTGTGACAGAGAAGCGGAAAGCGGCGGGGAGCAAGACGGCGATAACGCTGATTGTGAGCAGGGAGGAGTTGAGCTGGGTCGCACCTAGTCACGGATGGGCATGGAATGGTGTGCAGAGGACGAATGGACACATACTAGCTCCGAATCCTTGCTCAGAATATTTGACACCACCCGCGAAGAAGCACATTCCCAAAACAAGCACTTGGACATACATCAGTGGGCGTTCGCGCTGTAGCTGATAGGCGCCCACAGAGGTTACTCAGAATAGATCCAGTCACTGTGAAGAGAACATCAGAGCAATCAGAAGCGGCACGAGCAACTTACAAGAAGATTGGACGATCGTCAGTTCGCATTTCGTGAGCGCAATTATCTATGCACACGCTGGAATCATTCGGAATGATCAATGTTATGTATAAACGTACAGCAACGATCAACTCGACGCTTGGGGCCAAGAGTAAGCATCACGCCAGTGAAGTAAGAGAAGACTTACGCGTTACCCTAGACACGTGACTTGAGAATGCAAGTTGACATGAGGAAGTGGACCCACTCACAAGAGTAGCATTCAGTAAACCAGCCAGCGTTTGGCCCACGCGCATTGAAAGCTCATCCGTCGCAAATGCAAGGAGCTGATAACAATGATGAGAGGGGAATATGCGGCGCAGAAGATGCGCACTTTGGCAAGCGGAATGATGGAAAGAAACGAGACTTGGAGCCTGCGCATCAGCAAGCACGGTGCAGCAAGTTCAAGTACTCACAAACGAAGGTGAGTGTGTCCGACTGCTTGGTGAAGTGGAAGGCCCACTGAAAAGCGAAACAATCAGGCTCATCGCAGACAATGACATCGTAGCGAATGAACGCACAGAAATAGGAATGAAAACAAGGAGAATATTAAGGTCTATGGAAGGTGAGCCAAGACCATTGATATCAAGCAGAGTGTAAACGACGCACACGAGGCCAGTATTATGGAGCGGAGAGATTTCAAGACACCTGGCGCTGCGGCGACAGGCTTTTCGGGGACGAGCAGAGTCTTTACACGGGAGAGCGCCGACGTCGTCGTATCATTGGTCCTGTTGGTACCGCGATTGCGTAGAGGGGCGGGGGGTCTGGATGTGACTTTGGTCATGGGAATGTCGTCGAGGGGTTGATCCTGCACGGGGGAGTCTTCTCGTCGGACGAGAGGATGATCGGAATTTGAGCCCTCCTCTGGTACTGACGTCGACAGGGATCCGGGTCGTGGGTATGGAGACGGGGGCATGCTGGAGACAACAGCAGTTGACGGGGTTGAGGATTTAAGCTGAGGCGAGAGCAAGGCTGTGAAGTAACCTGAAGTAACCCCTTCAAAGAATGACCCTTGGCTTTGATGGGATCAAAGAATGACCACGGTCCCCACAGTACGTCGTCATCCGGTCTGCAGCCTGCTAAAACCAAGGCTTTCTCACTCCATGACCTTGTACTTCTGTTTTACCTCCTTGGCGCAGTCAACACGCTCGGTGTGCTGAATCCTCGCGAGCCCTCTCGATCCAGAGACCAGCAATCTTTAGCACTTGGCACGTCACAGCCGACAAACCATGGCACATTGACACATTTGCGCGGACCGGACAATCATCCCGCCACTGCGCACTTCAAGCTTCCACCAGCACATGTTCCCATGAGCATGCGCAGCTACATCTGCACAGCTCTCAATAGGCCGCAGTTTCCCTACATCCTACGGTTTATTGAAATGGATGTGCAAGTTTGGATGGGTTTTCAGGCTTGGGCTTGGGCTTAGGCTTGGTGCTGATCTTATCTATCATCAGATTATCAGGGGCTGCATTGGCACGCCAACATTTGTGACGACTCATTCATAGTCACCTGGCAGGCATTCACTGCCAGCTCGATAGCCATGATGAGATCCGTATTTACAGCTTTGCTGGAATTTCGCTATAGGCTAACAGGTCCACGTGCTTTTAAGTTCTGAGCTTGGGTGGTAGTTCCCGTAACTATGCTCAATGAATATCCCGTCATCGCAGGCAACGTGATGGCCTAAGTCTCGCATCACCGCAGCTGGAAAACCCGTGGGCCGGACTCATCCGTAGTATGCAAAGGAAACAGCTCCGTAAAGTCCATCCTCATGCCCCAACATGCCATGTCCATGCATTATCTGTGGATGACGCGCGCGCATCAGCCAAAGTAAAGGTGTCGCAGGGGAAATGCCGCACCTCCATCTTTCGAGCATGCCATCCAACGCCACTGCTCACGTTACCGTTCGCGTCAGAAAGCTGTTCGAGATGACGTCTCCAGGGATGATCCGAATCGAGGTCTCGCCGGAGCTTCCCGTCGATCCAGCCACTCGCCGTGTCCACGTACCAGCCCCGGCCGCCTTTGCTCCGGATGATCCGCCACGACTCGGCTCCTGCCCACAGCGCATTCAGCATGGCCGGAGCCAGCTCGATCACCCGCAGTCGCGTGAGTGCTGATGGCTTGACTGCAGCCGCTGCCGCCGGCGAGACAGAGAACGAGAACGGTGGCATGCAGATCGGTCGGATCACATGGGTGTGCAAGGCAATGCTAGCCTGACGGGCGCCGCGGCCGCCACCGCCACCGGCAGCGCACAATTCGGGCGAAGTAGAGGCCAAGGTGAGGACCTCCACATTATCCGCCTTATCGCGCATAAATTCAGAGATCACCTTCAGGCCGAGCAGAGGTATATGGGATAGCCCAAGGGATCTCAGCGCCGGCTGCTTGGGCATTTTGGCCAGCAAGGAGGCAGTCAAGGGCGAACTCGACAGATCCAGGTAGACAAGCTTTCCAGACACAAAGCAGGGCGCTTCTTCAAACAGGGCATCGAGATCTTCCTCGACGAGCGGCGACGAATAAGTCATGTCGCCGTACAGATTCAATTCCCGCAGATCACATGTCGCCTGGGAGTACAAAAGCAGATGCACGATGGCACTGCCTGTGATTTTGACGCAACGTGCAAGGGCCAGCGAGCGCAAATGTATCGTTCGAGACTGGCTCAGCCCGTGCAGGAGTTCATCGTCGACGCGAGTGCCCGACAGATCGAGATGCGTCAAGGACGGGAAGGCGAGAACAAACGCAGAGAGTGTCTGAGAACACACGCTCTTCACCGCTCGCATCCCCAGGCGCTGTAAGCCCGGAAACTTGAGCGGCTCCGTGCTCATCCGCCCTCTCGAGCCTTCGCTGGACAGCAGGTGGGCCGCAGCAAAGTCGTCCAGCGCACGCACAAACACCGAGCTGATGCACCCCGTGAAATCGACAGCAATCAATTCGCGACAGTCGCGTCTTCTCTCCCGATCCTCCTCGTCCATTTCGTTGGCCGGATCAATCAGAGCCCGACCACGCGTCGGCTGACCACGCCCACGTGACGGCGTTCCCCGAAGGAACAGTTCGTTCAGAATGCGGAGATTGAGTGAGCTATCCATGAATTCAGTAGCTCCAAACACGAGCAAGTTTGGCATCTCCTGAAAGACGATGACGCTCCGTTTGCCTCAACAAGACAGATGGGCTAACCTTGATGAGTGCCTCCACTCTGTACGGTGTAACAAACGGACTGTTGACGCCTTCCCCAACGGATCGCCGCATGTTCACAGTCCGGAAGTGGTTAAAATCGAGGTGCCGTACAAATCGCCCCGGCCGTGGGTCGTTTGGAGTGGGAACTGCGTCATCAGCACGGGTTGCACCGCATGAGAGTGAGACTTACTGTACAGCCCAGGCTCGTTGAGCTCCAACAGTCCCTGGACGGCATCGCTAATGTTGCGCACGATCTTCCACCGAGCGGGCGACTTGCTCGTCGGGCGGATGCGACGGGGACTCGGTTCGCGGGATGCGACAGGGGAGAGGAGCTCGAGCGGAATGGACTCATCCGGCGCGTTGAGACATAACACGATCCTGTCCTCCAACGCCTTGGCGTCCAGCTCTCCGGGGCTCGTCGCAGCCAGCGCCGCCTGAGTCGCCGCACGGATCGTGTGGTCCATCACCATGTCCACCGTCTCCTCGTCGTAGTCCCACGCGACCTGCTCGACCATCGAGAGGAAGGTCCTAGGCAGCCGCACCTGGAGCTTGTCCCACAGCCACGGCTTCGCTGCGTCGTACCACGCATGGTTCACCAGACACAGTCGCGCCAAGGTTTGCCGTGCCACCGGCTCCGGCCAGCTCGAGGAGGGATGCGAGGACGGAAGGGCGATGGGCGCGTTTCGGTCGTCATGACTGACCAGGGGATCGAGAGACGGGGATGGGCCGGTCGGAATGGAGCACGTATGAATGAAGGCGCATATAGCTAGCAAGATTTCAGGAGGGTACTGTGGGTTGTTCATCGTCAGGGCTGAAATCGGGTCCGAGTCAGAACGGACTCACACGGTGTATAAGTACTGGAAAATCACGGCCGGCACGGAACCAGCACGCAATGTTGTGTGTTTTGAGAACGATCGGGGAATAAAAACTTTACCCGAGGTCCTTGTCAGAGTCTGGGGTATTATCCCCGTTTGGGATCAGCCAACAGCTGACCCCGCCACAAAACGAAATAAAACATGTGGGGTCGCCAAGAGCCCAGCGAACGTTGGTCAGGAGCCCGGGAAAGCCTTGTTTTAGGTTATTGTGATGCCCCTGGACCCTCTTGGGCCGCTCTCGCGCTAAATCAAGCTCGACCGACGTGCCCATGTTACATACAAAATTACACAAAGCAAAGATGGCTACATATGCACCCTCATGACATTTCAACGTCCTCATCATCGGTATCAGAAACCGTCGCTTTGCTTTTGCTGCAGGTCGTTCAGCTCAGCAGAAGCGTAGTTAATCCAAAAAAAAGAGACACGTACAACTGCTTCTTTTGCGGGCGGACGATTTCTTCCTCGTCTTCATCTCGGACGGCTCGTTTCTTGGAAAGTCGCTACGAGAGGTCAGATGAGGACCACATGATGAGGGAGAAAGCTCACCTTTTTCGGCCGGTCGCCGTCTTCGTCATCATGCTCACTAGCCAGCTGCTCGTCCGCAGCAAGACCCGCGTCCTCGCCGTCACCGGGGCGACGCATCAGCTTTCCCCGTCGCTTTTTCTTGGGCTCGCCCTCATCACCACTGCCTTCGGCCTTCTGCTTCCGTGACTTCTTCGGCCGGCGTTCGCGCTCTTCGTCGCTGTCAACCCGGATCTCACGTGTCCACTCCTGGGCCTGTTCACGAGCCACCTTTCGTTCTTCGGCAAGTTTCTCAGCCTCGCGGCGCTGGGCCTCTGACCGTTCTCGCTAACAGGAGAAACGGATTAGCGGACCGAAAGACGCTGTCTGTTCCATCTCATACCTCGATGGCGTTCAATCTGTCCTTCTCCTCTTGTCGTCGCTGCCGAGCGGAGTCTAGTTTAGCCTGGACTTCGGACTCGTATTGCCTCTGCGCTGAAAGGTGTTCTTCGCTCTTTCGCAGCAAATTGTCGCCATATTTGCGCCGTTGATCAGCCAAATCACGACTATATGGCACCACATCCGACTTGTCCGCCGCAAGCGAAGCAAATAACCTGAAATCATGAGGTCAGATGAACGCCTTTTGTGTGAAGAATAAAACATACTTCTGTGCGTTATTCGCGTGTTCGATGGCGCGTGTCAAGTCTCTGAGCGTTCGCTTGTTGGTCGGCAACCCAAACAACATCTCCGCGGATTTTTGCTGAATCATGGCGATATTGTACAACACCGCTTTGTCGTTAGGCTGGATATGCAGAGCCCTCTGAACATAGCTCAAAGCGGTGTTCATCGACGCAAAGGACACATCCTTCGTTGCCTTCGCATACCAAGACCTGCAAAGACACAGCAGCACAGGCACGTTGTGGCCGCCGTAGAAGCGCGTAGAGGCGGTTTCATACTGCACGGGTCCTGTCAGTAACGGCTTAAAATATCTACACATCGCACTCACACTCTCGATAGCACGGTCAAACTCATCCCGCGCATAGTGACAGTGGCCGATATTGACGTGCACACTGCCATCGTTGATAGATTCCCGCGCCTTGGTGAAGATGTCCAGCGCATCTCTTGAGTTCTTCAGCCGGCGCTGGGCCTCGTCGGAACCCGATAACGCCGACGAAACGCCACTCAGAGTTCCGAGTGCGTCTTCGGCCGTGACAATGGCGAGACCTTGGGCAGCAAAAGCACACATGGGATCCAGGTGCAGCGCCTTCTCGAAGAACTCGGTGGCACGCTGGAAGTTACGCCGTCGCTCGTCTGTTGCCTTCTGAGACGTCTCCCTGCTCTCCCGAGACTGGTGGTACAGAATCCAGCCAGCAGCACAGAGAGAATAAACATCATGCTTGTCTACATCCTTCAGTGTCGCAAACACAAACTCTTTCGCGACCTTGTGCAGATTCGCCTGCATGAGAAAACAGGTGTAGAATGCCCGCACATTCAGGTTGGAGCCCTGAGCAGCGAGGGCTTGTTTGATGAGCTCATGGGCATCGTTGTGTCGGTTGAGACTGGCCAGCATCTGTGCTTGCCGCAATTTAGCTACGGAAGTGGTTCAGTGTCACGTTCTGTATGGGAAGGAATCAAAGAGCCCACCATCGACATACTCCGGGTGTCGCAACAACAGCTTCTCGTAGGCGTCCTTGGCCTTGTCCTCGGTGCCCTCATCTTCGTAGACCCTGGCGAGGTTGTACAAAATGGAGGTGGAGATAGCTTCTTTCGTTTCAGAGTGCATTCCGGCCGCTGTTGTGAGCGCATTCTCGTATAGTTCGCGAGCAGGTTTCAAATGTCCGTCCAAGTGCTGAAGCGCGCCAAGATTGTTGAGGATGCGAGGATCAGGCTTCCCCACCGATTCGCTGATCCGCATCGCTTCTCGCAGAGCTCGTGCAGTGCGGTCCAAGTTCTCCTCCTGCCACAGTCGTGCAATCTCAACATGCAGGTCCACATCGTTCACGATGTTTCGTGACGTGCGGCTTAATCCGTGCGTGTTGGCTTTGGCCTCGTCGGCATCGATCGTTTTGATGACTCGCTCAAACAGCTCCCGGGCCTTCACTCGCTCCTTGGCTGCATCCGAACTCGAGACGCCGGGCCGCGGGAAGGCACGAAGGGAAGCAAGCATCGCAGTAGCCTCCAGCGAGATTTGGACGTTGGAGGATTGCAGCAAACGGTCCAGCGCATGCAATGCTGCCGCCATTTCATCTGCACGCCGATGAGCATGAGCTTGAACGGTTCACTATGAGACAGACCATTCTGGATATGAATCTGTGCAAGACCAACAGCAGCGATGACCTGTTTCGGCTGGCCCTGAAGTGCAGCCTCGAAGAACTTGAGAGCGTACGCCCGAGATCCCTCAGCATGACAGACGCGAGCAGCGCGGATATAGCCTTCCGTCAAGACCGTGATCGTATCTGCAAACTGGATCGCACGCTCGGCCAGTTTCAAGGCCTGGGGCAGATTAGCCCTTGGGACGAACAGATACAGGATCTTAGACTCACGCGATCATATGCTCCCTTCCTCAAGAAAATCTCACACAAGGCATTCGCTGCGGCAGCACTCTTGTTGTTACGCTTGAACGCCCGTTCCACAGACTTGGTGCCAGTGGTGAACAGCTGTGCGCGTTCGCCATCAGGCGTCGCCTCGTTCTTGCTGGCGTTGATCGAGTCAAGACCGAGCAGTAGATCAGCAGGCCATTCTTTGGGATTCTGGAACAGTCAGCTCAAAGTCTGACTCCAGAATGCGACGCTTACGAGATCAAGACTTCTCTGCCATGCTGCCCGCGCCCTGTCCTTGTGTCCCAGAGACCAAAAACACAAACCAATCCCAATCCGTGGATCAGGAGAACAGCGCGGATTTAGCTCCAGCACGCGACGAAACAGTTTTAGTGCTTCGTTGTAGTTGCGCTGAGCATATAGTATTCTCCCCTACGGGTGTAACGGTCAGAGCGGACAGGTGAACAGAACGGGGTTCGATCGCACTTTTCCGGTGAGCGCAATGAGATTGGTCGGTTGTTGTTGCAGCACATCATTGAAAGACGACATGGCCTCATCCAACTTGCGCGTAGCCAGCTGTTGTATGCCTGGAACGAAGTAAACAGACTGCAGTGTGAGAACGAGAACCCAAAATCCGACAACCTCGCGTCAAGAAAGCCAGAGGCTGCACGAACCCAAGCTGGAGAGTCGAGTTCGAATAGCCGGCGGCTTGCTGGTACAGCTCGTCCTTCGTCGCCTGCCCCTTCATAACATCGTGTCCTGCGTCGCGGGGTTACTGACATTATCAAAAGTGATGGGCCACTCAAACTGACGGGCTTCAGGGAGAATCATCTTCGGCGCGACACTAGCCTGCGCAATCTTGATGTTCGCCAGAAGCGACCATATGGGTCCCATATACTGGTCCCTGCCCAAGGGCTTGTAGACTGCCAACTGCATCAAACGACCGAAAGCAAGGAGCGTGCAAAAGCCGTAGCGGACACACACACATTTTTCAGCCGCGAGCGCCACTTTCTCAGCCGACTCAAGCGACCCTCTCCTCCAAAACTCGGTCGCCACCACAGTCCACACCCACTCCAATGCCTGGCATGTCGGCTCGGACAGCAGCTCGAGCACTTCATCGACGGTGTCGAGGGCGTCGAGGTCTATTGTGATGACTTCCTGGCCGCCTAGCGCGATATCGATTGTCCGGGGAGAAGATTGCATGGAGTCCATGGTGGGATGGAACGCCTCGTTGTGCGCCTCACTCGGCGTCCTCGGCTATGTGTTACTTGCTTAAAGTTATGTGAGATAGTTCCGACGAGTCTGTATTCCGTTCGGAATAGAAAGCGCGGAGGAGGACGGTATGAGGACTCTACAGGCGCGCTTCGCAGAGAGTTTGGGATCACGTTGCTGATATTCTTTCATCACGTGAGAGTCGCGAGCTCATTGTCATGCACCTCGACGAATTCCGTATATTGGAGAGGCACTGTATACATCACCGCAATTACAACAAGACGGTGTTTCTAACTAACCAAGGCACTGCACTAGGCACTGCGCTCGGCGGTATCTGGGAGGCAATGATACAGATCGAGAACCTGGCCGTACTAGACGGCGGTCGAAAGCGCGGCAGCGCTGCAAGGCGAGCGGGAAGAATAGACATGACCACGAATGGATGAAATGGTCTCTAGAGAGGAGTGGTGGGGGGTATGGATGTCGGTGCACTGGCCAGCTCAGTGATCCGACGACGGCGCGGGCCGTCAATCTAAAAGTTGGACCAGCTGAGGACCTCATTTCGGGCCGCAAACGCGGGGTTTTCCATCTGGACCGTGATCCCCAGACTGGTGCTGCGGACGGGGCGCTCGGCGCGCAGCCCTTTCACGGGCTTGATGAAGCACCAGGCAGGGACCACACCGAGCTCGACATCGCTCTCGGCAGGCGCACCGGCCGACGTCTTGAACAGAGACTTCGCGCCGGCGAAGACACTCCCAGAGCGTCCGACGACAACCCAGCCGTCGTCAAACGCCTGCACGACAGTCAGGCGCTCCCCGAGGCTCACGAGCAGTTCGTCGGGCAGCACAGGGTTGAATTGTTGGCGGATTTTGCGAGGGGTACCGGAGGTCGGGTTCGAGTCGATCGAGGAGGTGGAAGACATCACAGAGAAACGGTTGCTGCTGCCACCAGACGACGCGAACGAATGCCGAATCCAGGACGAGCGCGGGTCATCGGGTACAGGCAGAGCGCTGCCTGCCGTGAGGGCGAACGAGAAAGGCTTGGGGAAGGTGCCGGATTGACGGTGGTAGTCTATCACCTCCTCGTTGCGCATGGGACGCGTCAGAACTTTGTCGGGTAATACGACTGAGGGAGTCAATTGATCCCGAGAAAAGCCACCCTGGGGGCCACTAAAAGTTTAGGCGTAGGCGTCAGCGAGACGGAAGCCGGGATGGGAATACGAGACGCACTCTTGCTTCTCGGCATCGTTCTCCCGATAAACTCCACGAACGGGAGTGAAAGCGGGAAGGCGCGCCTCATCACGCTTCTTTTGGGCACTCTGGCGGTATTTGCGGATTGCGAGCCATATGGCGAGAGCGAGCACTATGGCGCCGGCCAAGCCGATGCCAGCGATGGCGCTCGGGTCGAGAGAGGTGGAGTTGGAGTTAGAGGAGTCATCGCGGACGAAAACGTTGGGGATAGGCATGTTCCGGGTCGTAGACAACAAGTTCTGGTGAAAGAATGTGGGGGAAAGGATAATGAACGGACGACAAAACGATGTCAAGACGGATACGATCGCTCCCAGTTCTTGTCGGAGCAACCTCAAGCAAGTGGACCAGGAAGAAGAGGGGATGTTGGAATGACATACGTCGAACCGCGGGAAACCAGATCAGATTACCATAGCAACGTCGAGAATTTAATATTGAGGTGGCTATTGCTATATATAGGGCCCGACTCCGACAGCGGGAAACTCACAGACGGGCGTTCTTGGGCATTTTCCGCATTGCTTGCCGGACACCTATAATTGAATGGATGATAAGAGGATTGAAAACGAGAAGCAAAACACGGACCGAGGTCGCCCAGGACATCTTCAGCTGAAAGTGACGTCAGCAAAACCGTGGCGGGGCTTACGTGAATTAATAATGCAAATACCTCCGCCGAGAACCGAATCAAAGGTGACTGTGCGATGGTAGTGCTCGATGTGCTTGCCCATTCCCGTCTTAGTGATACCTCGACCGCCAAAGATCTGATGGAGGACGATTCAGAATCGAGGCCTGCTGAGCCGAGACGGTCCTGACCTGGACTGCGTCTGCTGCCGTTTGCTGCGCAGTGCTCGTCGCATACATCTTGAGGAAGGCGATTTGGCTGGCAGCATGCGATCAGCCGCTGGAACCAGCATGTTGGCGCAAAATCCTACCCTGCAAGGTGGGTAGATTGTTGCTTGTAGTTCATGTGGCACATCTGTCCGGGAGTCAGGTTGGCTATCTATCAGCCTCCGAGCACAAATCTCGCCTGATAGGTGACGTTTTCCAACCAAGCCTGAGCCGCCTCGACTCGGGAGATCATCGCTTCGGGGAAATGAGTGACTTTGAACACGCTACTTCAGCTTGCAGACTCGCCGGCGAGTTTCGATCGGATCACGGCCTGCGAGTTCAGAGGTTTCCCAAAGACCTTCCTCTGAGAAGACCATCTGGGGACCGTCAATGATGGAGCCGCGTTCCCGAGGGAGCAAATTCACTTCAGACACTCCTCGACGATGTAACGTTGGTTCGAAATGGAGGCGCAGGCCATCCCCCATCGCTCGTGGTTGAAGTTACTGCAAAGAACACGTCAAGACCAGGTACCGACGACGACAGGGAAACGGGTAAAGACCTCAAGATCACCTGCAACCCATTTCCGTCTTCTCCGAGGGTGTTCTCAAACGGTACAAGCACAGAGTCGAAAGTGATGTAGGCAGTTCCCGCAGTCGTGCTGTAGCTCGTCTTGATCTGTTTCGTTTCCACACCTGGGCCGCGCTCGATCACAAGCATCACCATCCCCTTCTCTGTTTTGCATCCGACAGTGAACTATCCGCAGTTCAGAATGAAGCTGAAACCGCACTGGGGCTGAGCTCACATAATCTGCGAAAGTGCCGTTCGTAATCCATTTCTGCCCAAAGTTTCAGATCACCGTACATGGTGTGCGAGGATAGGGATAGTACCTTGGTCCCAGTGACAACCCATCCTTGGTCAGTCCGCTTGGCGAAGCATTTCAGTCCGGCTAAAGCACGCTCAATGCTTTAGAAGCCTCGGAACAGCACTTCACTTGCCTACATCGGAGCCGGCAAAGGCTTCTGAGATTGCCAAGCACACGAACTTCTGGCCGGCGAAAACCTCGGCCACGATCTTGTCCCGTATAGCGGGTTGTCCGAAGTTGATGATAGGAGGAAGACCTGGCTATTAGTCAGTATCAATCCCAATGGGAATGCATCGTCCAACGCACCGATGTATGTTCCGCCCCCCAAGCCATCCTGATACCCGCTGACAAACTCTGAGTAAAAGTGCCCTGATGAGTGATGAGGTCGGCATTCACCGCGAGTTGAAACGTGTGCATTCTTGTGCCATGATGAGTTCATGGAAGTAGTCAAACTGGATCAGTCCGAGTTAGCTGTGGCCAGACCAGTCGACATGGAATCCAGCAAGTACCTCTTCAGGTTTGACTGTCCCGCCCATCAGAACACGGCCTTTGAGATGAGGTCCAGGGCCCAATCGCATAGCATAGAGGTTCACCTGTCACGAGCTCAGGCTAGATCCGGTGTGAGTAGTATTACTGCGTACGGCGGTCATGGCGTCAAATACGGACTGGGAAGGACGCTTCCCGTCTTCCTCGTGCAAGATCGCGTCCGGCAGGATGACCTCCTCGAAGAACTTCCGCACCTGAGCCTGGAATTTCCGGTGTCCCTGTTGGCAGACGTGTCGACGGCGCGCACGGGGCTGAGCATGAGCCGATGCATACCTCGGTGTAATAAGGACTGTGGTAGCCCGGGGTCAACCAGGTCGGCTCTGCATACGGGACGTTGCTCAATGCGCCGAGGGCGCGCGGGAAGATGGCTTGCTCCTCCCCGGCGATCGCTCCTATCTGGAGCCGTGCGTAGGAAGGCTTGAGCAGGACCTCATGGCGGTGCAGGCCGAAGAACGCTTCCGTCGCGTCTTGCCCGGCAACCTCTTCGTCGAGCAGAACGCTCGTGCCGCCCGGGTGGATCGCCGCGAACTTGGAGAGGTCGTAGACCTTAGAGTCGATGACGACCCACTAGCACAATAGGTGATCTCGCTCGACGGCGTGTGCGGGATTGACGCACCAGGTCGCCCTGCTTGTTGTGTTTCGCGACCTCCTCTCTGGTAAATTGCTTTGCGGCAGACATGGCGTTTGGATGGATGGGGTAGAGAGTGAAATGAACGGCATCATGATGCTTATGAGCCGCCGTAAACACACAGATATCACATGCTATATTTGCCATCGGCGATCAAAGAAATCTCATCCGACATGCTGCTCAATGCTTGCCATATACTATCCTAGATGAATATCGTGAAAAACACTACCAGGTAATCAACGCTGCTCCAGATGCCTCAACCTCAATCTTCCCGCCGCGGATAGTGTCCACTCTCAATTTGCCCTGGGCAAGCCCATCTGAATCGAGAGCGAAAGTCTGCCCAGCCCATGTCGTCAAATTTCCAAATTTGATGTCCGCACCCGGGGCCTGGAGCCTCTTGACCGAGACCGTCTTTGTTTTCGGTGGCAGGTACGCCGAAATATCGAATACGGTGGTCGGGCGAGACCCTGTCTCCGACTGGTTGAACGCCTGGAGATTGAGCAGTGCCAGTTTCGTGGGGAACGCATGGCTCGATTCTTCCCAGAAGCCATATACGACGCTTTGTCCGGCGCTGACATCGCCTTCCGCAGGAGTGATCGTGGATCCGTTTGACTGACGCCCGGGATAGATGTTGGAGACCCTCAGCGTCTTAGACGTCCCGAGTGCCTCGGCCACAAACAGGTAGGCAGAGTAAGACGGGAAGACCTGTTTCTCCCCATTCGCAGCGTCTTCCGGATACCTGCTGCGCGTGAGAAAAATAGACAGAAGCGGCGCACGACGGCTGACCATAGATTGTAGCGCGACAGGCCGCCATGATTGAGCTGAGTTGCCGACTGCAGCGCCAGAGGGCCGCCTTGATGGATGTACAACCGGGACACGTTGATCGACGCAGCGTACAACGTCGTATCGAGCAGCCACAATGCTTGACCAAACGTGTTGGAAACGCCGTCCTTTCCGGAGCACGAGACCGAGTTGTACTCCCCTGCGATCTTATAAATCCACGACTACTTTGAACAGCAGAGAATATACCGATGGTGAAGGCATCTGGTCCAAGCTGGGCCCGGACTGATTCGATGCGCGGCTGCCACAAGTCAAGATACCTGTTGCGCGATCAGCCGAGGAGAAAGCACCGCTCTTTCGAGCGTCCTACATTGCGAGCCGGGTATGATTAACCTGCAAGCCATGAGCGAAAGAAACGATATAGGATCTGACGAGATGTTGCTCACCAAGTTGGGCAAAGTCGCTACTGCCGTTCGGACAGGGTCGCAGACACTGTATTGGTAAGTGTGCTGTCAAGGAATGAGATGTGTCCTCCTGGGAAGCTGTTTCGCAGTGACCGACCTCGCTGCAAGATTGCACCGTCCCAGCCGCGTCGGAGCCCGCCTTCAAGGCACTCACACAATCAAGCTGGGCATTCGCCGTCGCACTCCCGTACGGCCAGAGTGGATCTTCGGCAGTGGCACCCACCTGGAACATGGGGGTAGAAAATCCCAAGACTTGCGAAATGTTCTTGGACCATGGCTAGAAAACCCATTGATATCTTTAGTCAGGGGATCAGCAGGAAAACCCAGCGCACCTCCCAGACGGCCGTGTAGGCCGCCGCAGAGAGCAGAGGGCTGTAGTGGTCTGGTTCATTGCCAACTGCCAAAACACGATCAGGTGAGAAACCGCGAGCATGATAATGGAGAAACCACACCCACTCTCGAATGAGAGTAGCTGCCCGGGACTGAGGCCCGTCACCGCAGACTCCGCGACCGCAAGCGCTCCAGAGTACGCAAAGTCGTGCAGATCCTGCAGCCGATCAGCGCAGCACAATAGAGCCGCCTGCATCCCAAACAGACGTACGAGATTCACGATGATCTGGGTGCCCTCAGGAAGCAACGTCCGCGCGGCGTCCCAGAACCGAGGCCCGATCGTCGTGTTGAACAGCGTCCCGGTGCTGCCAACGAAATTGAAGATCGCCGGCTCCAGCGACGCGTCCCAGTACGTCGAGTCCGCCGTGATCCCGCCGATGCGGATCTGCGCCGGCACGCCCGTCCGCGCCTTGAGGTTCTCGAGCAGGTTGATCGTGAGCGTGTTGGGCGCGGACGTGTTGCCCAGGTACTCGATGAAGAAGGCCGTCTCGATGCTGAAGCTGGCCAAAGCGGGGTGCAAGATTCCGGACGCATTGGCAGGAAGCGAAGCAGGTCCATGGATGGTCAGGTTTTTCGGAGCGCCAGCCAAGGCTCCGCAGAAGAAGAGGGCAAACGCAGCCAACAGAGTACGCATAGGGACGAGGAGTGCGGGTAGTCGTCCGCAACGTAGCGATTCTCCCATTCGACGACATCCGGGCCGGGCATGCTCATCGGACTGAGGAAGCCTGGTCACAGGCGTGATGGAGGAGCGAACGACTGATGGTGGAAGGGTTCTGCAAACCATGTGCTGCAAAGATTATCTACTACTTGCTAGTGTACAAGTTCTGCTACGTAGGCGAAAACAAGATAGCGGGTACGATTCGAGTTCAACGTTCAACGTCATCACGAGAGGTTGAGATAGATGTCAAAGTAAAAAGGTCGGAAGGTGCCCGGGGCTCCGACTGTGTGGGCTCGAGGCAAGGCGAATAACACATGCCTAGAGAGCACGGGAAGCGAAGAAAGACCGCGAGCTTGGTTGTAGGGTAATAGAGCATCAGCGGCAGTTAACAAGAGGGACGGGCAAGATGTCGGAAGAAAGGCAGATGGCAGAGGCTAGCTCAATGTTGGTTGGGTGGAACGGGCCAGGACTGATGCAAGGTCTCGTTGTCGCCGTCGGTGTAGCTCGACACACTGGCGATCGAAGGCTGCATGCTGACCCGCAAACGCTCCTGCACATCGTCAGCGCTCGCGGACGGCCCCAATGCAGCGATCAGCGACGCCAGCGCATGGTCCTGCGACGCTTGCGAGTGGTGCTCGGGCTTGGCAAACGGCAGTCGAATCATCGGAGCGACAAACTCGTCACTCGGATCACTGAAGGGATTCTCCGACTCGCGATGCGGCAAAGCACGGATGGTCCCGACACTGCTGGTCGGGCTTGGTGGCGTGGAGACGCGATATTTGCCCTTCTCCTCTCGCGTCCAGGCTGATGCCGGGATAGCCGGCATCGCCACGGGCACTGGATCGGGGACGCTGTGGTTCGCTCGGGAAAGGGACGGCGTGCGAGACCGTGCTGACTGCATCGACACCCGCTCGCTTGCGCCGAAGAACGGGTTGTTGAGGCTCTTCCGACGGAGTATCGGTTCCGCAATCGAGGACGCCCGCGCTGGATCCCGGGTATCGAAATCCTCGATCTCCACAGAATGCCAAAGATGCGGTTCCGAAGACGTCAATTGAGGCGTCGGGATAGCAAAATCAGCGCTGGCAGACATGGGAGGAGTCGAGTTGGATTTGAGAGACAGGAAGGAGTCATGGGCGACCGTGTCGCCATCCCAGGAAATAGAAGGAACTTCCACCCGTGGGAGGAAAGGTTGGGGTGAAGCCGGCAGTTGCGAATCCGCTTGAGCCATGTCCTTGGCGAGATTGGGGTGGTACGCAGCAAACGGATGGTCGAACTGAGCCGCGGGAGGCTCGGGAAATGTGGTGTAATTCGTCCACATGCTCGGGGTGCCCTTCTTGAACATGGTGAGTTTCTCCATAGGCGGCACACTGACGACGCCGTTCTTCTGGTATTTGCTCTGCACACCCTCGTCTTTGCCTTCCCACTTGTCGTCGTCGTGGCTGTCCTCCATCTTAGCCCAGGCACGCTCCTTGTCGCCTTTGTGCGCATTCGAGGGGCGTCGTGCCGGCACCTGGCTCCCGCGACGGAAGAGCCAGAGACCAAGCAACACAATGATAATTGCTCCTAGAAGAGCACCGACACAGGCACCGATGACGGTGCCAATGGAGATGTCGGATTTCGAAGCGCCTGCCGCGGCGCTCGGCTGGGCGGTGGCATTTGCTGGATCCGCGGCTACGGTTGGTGCAACTGGTACAGAGGTCGTGGCAGTAGCTGCAGCAGAGAATGCAACGACGGCGGTCGCTTGACCAGCATTAGTGACAGCGTTGGTGTCGATGGCGAGCGACTCTTGTGTGATTGCAGCTGTATTGACTGCCACGGATGCAGCGGTCAGGCCGAGAGCAGTGGGTGCTGCCGGGACATCCTGCCGTTTGTTGTGGATGATACGCGCGTGGTGGTGGACCATAGTGGAGAAAGAATGCGGTGTAAAAGAGTGTCGGGAGGAGGGGGCCAGTCAGACGATTTGGAAAGAAATAGTCTTAAAGTCTCATGTCTGAGCGGCGTGAGCAGTATGCGGGTCGAATAAGGTACGAACTAACCAGAACGACGAGTGCAGAGGAGCAGAAGCAAAGCGCTGTCGCCCACTACGGAAGAGAGCGAACACCTTATCGCTGAAACGTCGACCAGAGTGTTACCGTTGCTAACACGGGTCACTGTCACAACCCTTGACATCTCCGCCTCCAAATTCTAATGCGCTTGCGGCTCCATGCATTTATTGACTGTTCTGATGCCGAGCATTTTTTCCGTCTCATGTTCCGGTACTTAGCTGGATGTCGCAATAAAATACCTCAGAAATGCCGTACTCGAAGCCGGAAAACTTCTGTGTTCGGTTATCGAACGCCTTATGTTTGGTCCGCCGATTTCTGAGTCCTTAGGATCATCCGGATCCGAACTGTGACAAGCAAGCGGACATTCCAATGCGGTATGAACTAACGCATGCACATTTCGTGCCGAGCAGCACGAAACAAGCGGGTCCGAGCGTTTGACGTGATTAGACAAAAAGCACATGGTCGCTCGATGGGAGTTGGGCGGGGATCCATGCAAGTTCAGGCAGGATGCAGATCAAGCCAACAGAATCAAGGGGGGAGACAGCTGTCGATGATATCTCAAGTCAGGCGTGGTCGCGCAAAGAATCTTGAGAGGGTGCGTAAACGCGATTATCATGTTCTCAATCGCTGTCATTGGACGCTTGCCGAGAGTGAATCAAGTGCATATCCTGTTCCTGCACGAACAGAAATCGTCCAGGTTCCCTCTCGCCCTTCCTTTCCTCGTGCATACCATCTCGGCCATTCGGGAAGAGTTCTAGCGAGAAAACAACACAGCAGAGTGCCATCAAACACCGCCACATCGGAAAACTAGGGAATTCTGCTTGTACACTGCCCTCTTCAACATGTTCCGCCCTAGAAGATGGTATAAGTGGGACCGCGAAAGTGCAGCATACTGCATTCTCTCTTCTCTCGACGTCGCACCGCGCCGGCAGAGTAAACTGGAAAGTCAAGCGCTGACCCGGGCGTGGGAAACCCAGAGCTGGCTTTAGATAACTCTGCTACGTCTTCGAGTTGACCGTCCGTGCTTCTTGTCTCCCGGCATCATCATGGCTCAAAATCCCTATAATAACGCGCAATGGGGAGATCAGTACTCTGACCCATCCCAACCCCGGATCCAGCTTGAGCAGGAGTTCGAGTATTCGCTACCCCAGCAGTCACACTCCGGTCCAAGCTTCCAGCCCACCTTCCAGTTCGGCAATGGCAGCAGTTTACAGAACTCATTCACCCAGTCCCAGGCTCGCAGCTCATCCTACCCTCGTCCCAGTCACAGTCCGTCCGGCTCGGTCGATCGCTCTCATTTCATCGGTGTCTCGACCCCTCAACAACACCTCAGCACCTTCTCCTTTGATAACCAAGCCTCCGGTTTCTTGAATCCAGAGTCACATCCTCAATACCATAACAACATATCCTCTTACAACCTCCAGATGTCTGCGACACCCACCCCGGTCACAGCGACCAGCCTTGGTGCCAGCGGTTCGGGGGATGTGCGGCCCCATCACCAGTCATCGGCGCCCTACTCACAGGCTCCGTCGAGTCTGCGCCAACAGCCGAAAACCAAGCGCCATCGTACCGTCGACATCGTGCGTGATGAGAAGGATAACGAGGACCTGGAAGGTGAAGAGGTTAGCAACGCCCGTGCTAAACCGTACGTCTTCATCGATTCTTTCGGACTTACGGCGAAGGCATAACAACCACTGCCCAGACTGGGAGCTTGCGCGCGATGCAAGACCTTGAAAGTCAAATGCGAGCTCAAAACCGATACAGATCCGTGCAAGCGGTGTTTCAACGGCGGGTACGAGTGTGTCACCCCGGGACGGAAGAAACGTCGCACACCGCCCAAGCGCGAGCATCTGCTCAACCAGATCCGCGAACAAGCAGCTGAAATCCAGCAGCTGATGGCCCAATTGGAGAAGACGAACAACGCGCCCGTCAAGCCACCGAATACCGCCGCGACGGACACGTTCCCGCTGTCGCCAAGCTCGTCTGGCATCCATTCTCCGGTGCTCTCGCCAACATCAAACGGGTCGTACTTTGACGCGGGAGTCATCGGGCCGGCTTGTCCGGACAACGTCGAAACGAACAAGGTCGTCGAGGACTGGATCGCAAAGGCTCGCGGTAGTCTCGCCGAGTTTGATGGCTTCATTGGGATCGGCGGTGCTGGGTTGTCAAAGCGATATCTTGTCGAGGAAGATCTCGAGGACTCGAGCAGCGGGGATGACGATCATGCGGTCAGTGACGACGATGATCTTGGCGATGGAACGACGCATGGCGGTGCTGTCGACATAGAAGTCATGGATTCAGATGGGGAAGAGGTGCCTGTCGGTCATAGAGGTCACCGAGGTGTCAAAGATCGGCAGATGTCCAACTCTTCATCCACCACTGATCGGAATCCGAAAAAGAAGGACAGCGGAAATACGAAACTGGCGACACTCCCCAGTGAAGCAAGTCCTTTCGGCCTGATGGCTGACCTGAGTCTGAAGACTGGTCTGGCTGAGAGCCCTGAAGCCGTGGACGCGCCGGCCCTTGGCGTCGCCAACGCAGATTTCTTCAGATCAAGTAAGTGGCGAAGTAGCACTGGAGATCCATTTCTCAAAAACGCAGGCCCTACACCGGATCCGATGCGGGGACGACAGCTCAACCCGGCTATGCCCCATATATTGACTCGTGGCGTGATAACCCCCCAGGAGGCCGAGAAGTTGTTCGATATGTTGGTGCTCAATTTATCATCGTCTCTTGATTAACCTTGTTGCCAGCTACTTCCAATGCATGAACATCTCAGTGTCGTTACTCGATCCGGTTCTCTACACACCCCAGAAGACGTGCTTCCGGAGTCCTTTCTTGTTCACAGTCGGTGCGCTTCCTCGTGCGATCACGTAATTAGATGCAGGCACTGATGCGACAGGCAGTGTGTGCCATCGCATCTAGATTCTACACCGAGCGCCCGGAGCTGTACAACCAGGCCATGCATTTTGCCCAGTTGGCCGCTGGGACAGCCCTGATCGGGGGCCACCCCAAGTGCGTGGAGACCTGCCAGGGATATATCCTCATGTCTCTATTCCCCGCCCCTGCCAAGAGGTGGGAAGATGAGCGAGGATGGTTGTATCTAGGACTCGCGATTAGGTGAGCAGTCACACCAACCCATATAATCTCCGGCTGTCGCGGTGGCTGAACTCACACAGGATGGCGATCGACCTGAATCTCCACCTCCCCAACACCGCCAAGCCGATCAACGAAAGCCACGAGCGAGAGATGCTCAATCGAACGCGCGTTTGGCTGAACTGCTTCAATCTCGATCGGTCCACCGGCTCGCAGTACGGCAAGGCGCCTACAATCAGCAACAGCGATTACATGGCCAACCATTCCGAGGACTGGTGGCGCAAGTCGACGTACAACATCCCCAATTTCGACATCCACATCTGCGCTTACAATTCCGAGCTTAAAGTAATGGCTGGTTTCATGAGCAAGATCTACAGCGACCCGGAGCATCCCACTGGTTTGAACAAGGTTAGCGAATCACTCTCCTCGGAGGTTGCTCTGACCGCGGTGCAGAACGTAGACTTTGAAAAAGTGGCTGCCGAAACGGACGAAGAATTGAAGCGTCTGGGAGAAAAGTGGCAGAGTGTATTGAACGAAACCGATGTTTGCGATCCGCAGAACTGTTTCCGGACAGGGTTGCTCAAGCTTGCTTACGGTTATGCTCGCCTTGTCGCCCTTTCGTTTGGGTTCCAACATGCTTTCGGCAAGAACCACTCGGACGAGAACCCCTTCTTGAACAGGGTGTGTCTTTTTCTTGGTGGCAGCGTTTCTGGCTGACGTGTGCAGTGCCTCGCTGCTGCTACTGATGTTGTGATTGCCCTGGTGGACGATGTAGGCAGACCAGAACAACGTGCGTGTGCATCTCCAACCCACACGCCGCGGATCCTAACCCTAACATCCACCAGGCATCTACTTGCGCCATGGACCGATAGCCCAAAGTGTGTTTGCCACATTTGCTGCTTCCATCCTCGTCAAGGTCTGTGCCACGTGAGTATGACTGGTCAGCTACTCAACACCCAAAACAGTTGTTGCAGCCCAAGTTTTCATCCTATCTGACTGCCGAAAAGCGGCAAGAGATGCGAGGGCTGGTGAAGAAAGTGATCGACCTGCTGGGATCTCCGGATGTCTCGATCGACGACAAACATGGGCCTCATCTCTACGCGCGGTTCCTCAAGGGTCTGCTCGCCGCTCCTCTGGTGAAGGACTCCCGCCCGCGCCGAAGCGTGCGGAACAGCTTGGGACTGGGCGATTCCATGGAGCTCGCGTCAAACCACACTTCGCCCGAGGCAAGCGACACGTTGTCCCCTGCCCCGACCACGGCGGCGCTCTCCTTTGACCGATTTGCTCCGCCGCTCGGGGGCAGCATCGATCCGTTCATGCCTTTGGTGCAGGAGCATCACAGTGCGCTCGGGCTCGAGGCGGATATGTCCCCTCCGGATTTCTTCCCTGCATCGGCACCCTACAATCCATCAGGCAATGGCACGTACGATCCCTCATGGCAAGGCACGTCGTTCGCTTCAGCTCTCCAGTCGATTCTTGTTCTAACCCGTTTGTGGACAGACTTCTCCTGGCTGAACCAAGGCTGGACCAACGGGATGTACACTAATCAGACATTCCATCAGTAGGACATCTGTGCTGTATTTTTGCTTCCCCCAGATTATTGTAAACAATTACATATAAATATACGTTTGCACATCTACAATTTCGCGTCCGCAGGCATGGCACGCATCGCTTGCCGGACGCCGAGATCCCTGAGCACGTCCTCAGCACCTCCAAGCAACGCGTCAAATGCAATGGTACGGTGATACTGAAATCACATCAGTGCCCGGGGAAAGAAAAAGACAGTCCCAAAACGCACATGCTCGACATATCGGCCCATTCCCGTGCGGGTGATACCTCGCCCACCGAAGATCTGGACGGCATCTGCCGCTGTTTCTTGGCCGCACGAAGTGGAATATGCTTTCAAGAATGCGATCGGTCTAGAAACAGCTCAGTCGACCATAAAAGGCAGCGTCAGACTACTCACCCAGCGAGCTTAGATGCTTGCTGTTTGTAGGACTGCCAAGACGATTAGCACCAGACTAATCACGGAACGGGGGGACTTACCATGTTGCACATCTGGTAACTGATGGATTCCAACCAGGTCTGGCAACTCTCGGCCCGCGATATCATCGCTATCGACGAATCCGGTCAGCTACATGCCTTTTCATTCACAGAACAGCATCGACGCACCAGCGAGCTTCGAACGGATGATTGCAAGCGAATTGAGCGGTTTGCCAAAAGCCTTGCGCTGATTCGTCCATTTCAGACACTCTTCGACTGATAGGCTGTAAGAGAAAGAAAAGACGGGAGGAGCGATAAGCACTTACCCATTCCACGCTGAGCGCGGGCCGAGTTGCAGCACATCACCCAGCGCTCGTGGTTGAAGTTGCTCAGCATCACAAAGATGCCTCCGCCTTCTTCGCCCAGAGTGTTGCCGACAGGTGCCCGAGCATTGTCGAAGGTAATAAACGCAGTTCCGGCTGCAGCAGAGTACTGCAGATCCATGCAGCTCGTTAATAGACAGGTCCTGCTCTCAGCACGATTTGACAACGCACGCTAGTCTTGATCGGCTTTGTTTCGACACCAGGTCCGCGCTCGACGAGAATGACAGTAAAGCATCCTCGGTCTTGCACCCGACAGTGAAGTAATCCGAGAACCTATCACTCAGTATCACCGACCGAAGCATCCAGCGAGAACACCAGCGACTCACGTGCCGTTGGTGATCCACTTCTTCGTTCCATTGATAATCCACTCCTTGCCATCTTCGCTCTTGACAGCGGTGGTCTGCAGGCCCATCACATCCGAACCAGCATGCGCTTCAGAGATAGCGAGCGAGATGAACTTCTTGCCTGCAGAACTTCTGGACCACTTTCGCTTCACCTCCTCGCTGCCGAAGTTGAGCACCGGGGGGAGACCGATGACCATGCCAGAGAGAAGCCCGTCTCCGTAGCCGCGGTTTCCACAAAGGGTCAGCTCTGGATAGCGATAGCTGGGAGAAAGATGTCAGAGATCGGTCGGATTGACAGTACATGTGGACTACCTCGTGGAAGTAGTCAAATTTCTCGGGTTCTCGAGGCCGTTCATGAGAGTAAGCCCCTTGAGGTGCTTCCCGGGTCCCAGCCGCA